GCATCTTATCTTAATAGATGATAATCAATTAGCACCTCGCAACATTAATGAGTATTATCTAAGATGATTTATTGTGCAGCAAATAACTCATCAATGCAGAAAATATAGCTACGAAGGATAGATGTAGCATGAAGGGAAAGAAAAACGAAGGAGCACGATAGGATTATTATAGATGTTGAGGGAAGTCTGGCTTTTGGCAAATAAGATTGCAGGAGAAAAAAAATCATCTAACAATCAATATAATCTCATAAAGGACCCATGCAGCCATGAAAGTGTCAAATTTATGAAATGATGAACCAATAATTTTTTAATTTTCTATTCCCTTCGCAAGGAGAACTATCTCTTCTGACACGATTTCCCACAATAAACTTCCCGAGAATATTATGATTAAAGAAGTGAAAGATATGAACCATCAGGGATGAAGAGCCACTTACATCTGCATAAGCTAAGTGATATAAAGGAACTGTGGGTTGAGATAATATCAGCTCCTCATAGCAAAAAACTGCTTGCTTGTACCTGAGGTACAGATACAAAATACAAACTCTCAACTGGGAACACAATGGACGCAAATTATTCTCTACTGATAGATGGAAAGGAACTTGAAAAAGGAAATTACTCACATTTGGAGAGAGATATATAAATCAGCCAGTTCTCTCCAGGCATCATGATCCGCCATAAATCTATTAAATAGGGAGAAAAGAAATTCAGCCATGACTTTTGAAGCAAATAATCTGAAGGACGCATTTTTAAGCTTTCAAAATAAGAGGTTTGCAAAATTCTTCTCACGTTTCAAGATATTTGTTGAGCCACTCAATAGCCACAGCAATGTTTCCTTGTGCCTTTGCCAGAGAAACTCTCCTTTTATGTACTACCTGTTCAAGTGCAAGGGAAAATGCTCTTATAGCTATATGTTTAGTTCATCATATATCTCAAGTTATTACACTCCAACGGAGTACTGCCGTTATACATACATACAAACATACATATACATATACATGCAAACATACATATATATCTACATGCAAATATATATATATATATATATATATATATAAATTGTTTCACAAAGAGCAGTCAAAATAATTACTTGATCAAATGGATTTTCCTCTAAAAGGCTAGCGTAAGCTTTTTCCGCCTCAGCCCACAATCCCTTTGCTTCAAGCAACATAGCCTCCAGCCTCCCTGCGACAAGGAAACCCCATAGTTATCAAAGTGCTTATAAACTTTATCTACTCAGAGTCTTATCAAATCGACAGTAATCAAGTAGATGTCTAGCTGATCAATTATGAACAACAATTCCATTCACAATTAGAGAAACAGGTTGAGGCTAGATTCTGAGGTCCAAGAATAAGTAGAGTCACAATCAACAGGTCAACTGCTTCAGATTATAATTAAATCATATAAAAGACAATTGTAGAATGTCTACCAAAAAATCAACCTTTGGTCACTTAAATAACATCGTTTCTGCAAGAACAGGCACTTCAGTCTGGTTGTTGGGCTGTATTTTTGTATATCCTCTTGTGTTCTTTCATTCTTCTCAAAGAAAGAGTTCAAAAATAATTTAAAAAAAAAAGATTTGATTCCAACTCAATAAAACAAGAATAAGTCACCGGTTTATTACCTATTCCTCTTGTACATGACACAACATAATGGGGAAAGGGTACACGCCAGGCCAGGTTTCTTCTTTGAATTTTATCACCAAGTATTTATGCGACCCAAACTTAGACCCCAATGAAAAACCTTAAACTTCGTAGGAGTTGGTGGACATTTTTCCCGCAAATAGACACCTTAGTTAAGGATGGAAACAAAACCTACTTCAAGGTCATAGGACGTAGAACAAAGATTTACATGAAAAATTACTAGACTGCTCCTATTCACCCATCGATCTATCATTTAGGTTTCTTCTTAGATTAAAGACCAAAAACCAGCCTTTAAGTTCCAGCAGCATCTATGCTAGCCCAGTGACAATTGACAAGTTATTACAATCACTGGATTTGACACAAAACAATGCCAATGAATGCTAAAATTAAAGGTTTAAAACCAACAAGAACACATGTCAATTGTTTCCTAGATTCATTTTTTTCTTGAACTTCATCCATTGCCTCCATGCAGTCTTAAGTGCACAAATGAACAGCGTCTTCTATTTTGCAAGTTTTTTATATCAAATACCTTATCCTAATGAACTTACTGCAATAAGGAATTTTAACCCAAAAAATATATTAACTCTCTAAGTTGCCTGATTCAAAGCTAGAGAACTTTACTTGGCCCTGCAACATTAGGTAGTTAAAAAAAAGAGGCATATTTATTTCAGGTGGGTGAACCAGCTACTCTAGTGGTTTCCAATCCATGGCTAAGCAGCTAAATATAGCCTTTGCCCCACCATTAGGGTTACCATAAGTTACCATTTCATATGTTAATGGAAGTTCAATTATAAAATATGAACACTTAGTTGGTTACAAACTCAAGCAAGAATACAAGTATATAAAATGTATAATTATTTTTAACATACCAACTCTTTTACTCTGTGGAAACTTCTTCTGAAGAACCTTTATGCAATCCTACAAAAGATTGCAAAGTGTAGGGCATCACACATCAGTCAACCAAGACTAAAATAAGCTGAACCAAACTGCAATTCAAGTAGTTAACTATAGAAGTGTAAATTGCACCTTTGCAACATCTATAGCATGGCAGTCCAGTGCTGCAATAGCTACCTGTTCGTACAGGGTCCATTCTACACCACGCAACAAATCAATTTAAAGTCGTTAAGGGAGGAAGGTCTTTAATTATATCTTCTATCATACAATACAATGATTAATAAAGAGAAAAAATAAAAGAGAGAAAAAAGGTGGTCTCGCTTTGATTTCAATAAAAGTTCATCTTTTCCCTATTTTTATTGGATGTACCCGAAGGGACCATCTTTTCCCTATTTATAAGAAAATTAATTCCTGGAGCTGTATAATTTCTCAGTAATACATAAGTGAAAAAGCATAGAACTTGACAAGGTTAATAGTCCGTTCTGCATACTTCTATTTGCCCCCTGAACAAGAGCTTCAGGAAAGAAGAAGTTTAATCCATAATTCAACCACAAAAGGTGCATGAACCGCAAAATTAGAGAATATGATGAAGCTGAACTCATATTTAAGGTTCCTTCTAATTAACCATTCAACAACCAAAAGCACTGTTAGTCCATCCAACTATTTAGTGAGAAGTGCATTTACTTCACAGTTGCTCTTTTATCCTACCAAGCATGAGCTATCATCTTTTCAATTGTAATTTTTCCCATTACAATCAGCAATTAAGCAGGAAGCAACATTCCAAAATTACAGTTCATGGTGCACACAGCTTCACCGCTGAATTCAAATTTGAATAAACATAGAAATTAGAATACGTACTTCACTAATACACCAACCAACCGCCGGTATAAAACTTAATTACATGGACAAGCCTCTACTAACTTGAATCCACTTGACAGTGATCAACCGAATTGATTTCCCCAACATCGAAACATTCAAAACAATTGGAATCTAAAAATCCGCATCTTCAGACCCAGATCGAGGAAGCAATAAAAAAAAGGGTTAAAAACTCACCCTCTTGGCCGAGACCGGATCGCTTTCTGGAGTCGTTCAGGATCGACAATCCATGCTTTAAGACCTTGTCAGAACGGCGAACCTTGAGCTTCCTGACGAGGCAGAGATACTCCCAAGCGCCGCCACCTCCATTGTCGACCTGGTTCTCGAGTCGATTCAACTCGGCCTCCTCTGCTTTACTCACCATCTTCGGAGACTGGCCGAGAATTTCGGATCGAGAATTATAAAGAAACTGCACCCACCCTCTCGGCCCAGTTCCCTCGCCGGCCGGCTGTTGGATCTAGTAGCTGGAATGGAGTGAAGAGACTAGAGAGGGAATTTGACTTGGATCGCACTACGGAAATCGGGTCGGGTTCGCTTCCTTTTGGCTTTTGATGATTTTGGTTCCGTGGGTCTAATCCAATGGCATGTTTCAGTTTGTTCATTCGGGTGGATTTTCCATTTTTTGGGTCTGATTTTTTTTTCCTTTTTTTTTTCTTTCACTTTTGCCGATTAGATTAGCCAATCCGAAATAAGATCTTTTGTCTATTCACTCTTCAGTAGAAGAGAATCTAAAGCAAGGATTTTCGATGTTTTGGAAAATATTTCAATCTTAATTTTATAGAACGTTAGATGTAAATATTGAAAAATAAATAATGAAATGGGTAAATATTACTAGAAAAAGAAAATAATGAAATGAAGTAACTTATAAAAAGATTAAAATACTCTTTCCCTTCTTGTACGGTTGAATTTAAGTCATTATATAATAATTAATAGATTGATGATGTGATTGCATCCACGTCGTTGCAGATGACGCGGATTTTAAAAGTCATTCTCAATTTTTGGGAAGATTTGATTTCGATTTCGATTTTCTTTGGAAGTCTTTTAATTTGTTAGTACATGGACTACAATAATATTTTAACCTAAAAATATTTGAAGTAAAAAATTTCAAATGCGGTTACATAAGTAGTAAAAAGATTGATATTATTTCAGATATTAGGTAGTTTAAATTTAACCTCAAATCAAAATTAAACTGAATTTAAAACATTTTAAAAAAAATTATTATGTTATGGGGTAAAATTTTTTTTTAAATATAATGACTACAAAGTAGGGTGCGTATTTAAATTTTGATTCGGTTTAAATCATATTTGTTGGGGAGAGACGATCAAAACCACGTCACATGGAGAAAAGGATTGGAACCTACTGACCTGGAAGGTTGAAAATGAAAGTAATATTCCAAAACCAATAAATAAGCGACTGCACTTGAATATTAAGTATCGTATTCTTGCTCAATCTATCATCTAAGTTATATGTGAAACTAACTTGAATATCAGAGTGTCTACTCTCCTTGTATAGGTCTATTCCCGCGCCAGACGAATACAAGACATCGATCGAGCATCTACACCCAATCGATTGCTGACCTGACCAAGTTGGACAACTACTCACTTTGTTGCAAAAATAATACTTATTGGCCGATTTGAACCGTTTGATTTTCAAATTATAAAATCATACTTTAACCTGGCATATATGTAATTTTTTTTTTAGATAATAATGTAAAGTTTGAAATTCCACAACTCCTCCCACGTCTTATTCTAACATATATTTTTTTATGAGAAAGATTAATTTCAATACTCAAATCTGTTCCCATTTCTGGAGTTTTAAGATTAATTTTATAGGATCTCTTTTCCTTAAACTCTAGCCTTTATCAAGCCCAGAACATTTATACTTAACAAGTCTCGATAAATTGTCAATCAAACAATGTATTAGAAGAATTCTGTATTCCTTTTCTATGCTCCATTGCTGCGAAGTTACACCACTGCTGCATGATTCCTGAACATTAAATCCCAGAAGAAAAAATGTTAAACAAAAACATGATGCATACTCGCGCAAGATTCATTTTGTACGTTCATTTTGGCCCACTTTTAAAAAGTGACTACTTTGTTCTTTTCGTTATTTTGCCATCATAATTTTAACATTACACTCCGCTTACTAAATTTCTTGTAAAACTATACAAATAGGGACTAAATTAGTCACTTTTATAAAGTACAATGACAAAAAATGAACTTTTTGAACGTATCGGACCAAAATAGTATTTAAATCTAATAGTTTACTGCAGAATTGGGAATTTGAAATCTGAAATATAGAGGATGAGGCTTTGTCTTGAATGAATTGTTCAAAGGAAAACTAAATACAGCACAGAAACAGAACTAGACCATGGAATGCTCAAGGTTTCCAAGTTTACATCCAGCAACAACGTCCGATATTCCATTACTACTCTACCATTTGCCTCATTAGAAGCTTGTACATCCTCTTCGACCCTGTAATATGCATATTCGAATCCGACCCAATACGTATCAAACGAGAAACTCGAGCTTTCTTGTCTAGCAGGTTGTAAATCCATGAACTAGTTTTAATGGTTGTTTGAAACTGTTAGTGTGACTGATTTTCAGAAGTACAAATTTGCAACCAACTACTCAAATATTTTAAATATATCTTTTAAGAAGATCTCCTACTCTTATACTACATTAAACAATCACTCCTGAACTTAAAAGCTTGTTGATAGGTTAGAACATATATGATAATCTCTAGCTGCATCTGGTACACTACTAAACTTAAAATACTTAAAGGAACGAACCTCACAAGTACTCAGCAACATGTAAACTTCAGTCGATAAGCTGAAAGATCGATCACGGGCGGAAAAGATCGGGTCCTCCATCTTGGTAGCTTGCAATGTATTCTTCATAGTGAGAAAAACCATTACAAGAATGAGCAGAAAATTTTAAAATGCAACTTCTACATGAACCAATAAAGGTGCTCGGTATTTGTTAACTTTCTTCTTTTTGACAACGGAAAGAGTGATAGAATTTGACTTTTCGTTCTCGGTATTGGAAACTAAGAACTATGAGCAATGAGCAGTAAATATTGCATCTTATTGTACAATTATTAAAGTGGAAAAATAAAGCATTATTATCATAAAGAGCTACTGAAGTATCATGAATAGTAAACATTAACGTTATTGAGTAACTATTCACAAGCTCACAACTTCAATCATTCTTTAGAATTCGTTCATAAAGAACAGTTAAGAAACTGGACGTGTTTTCTTTAAACTTCTGTTCTAAAAAACAAACAACTGTTTGTAAAAATAACCTCCAAACAGCCCCCTGAGGTTAGACTTATTTTTACTACTATGAAAAGTGAGGTTTAACAATGCAAGAGCATCAATGAAAGCAGCAAAAGAACCAAGCCATTAACTCATGGATTTAAATCTTACCCGAGACTGGAGGTTGATACATGGTTGATCAAATCAAAGAGCACCAAAGAACCAGCATAACAATCCAAGTATACAGTTCTGAGGTTTGGTCTGTCATGAATATAGCTCAACCAACCTTGCTTGATCAACTAATAACACGATGTCGGGTTGTCACCGAAAAACTGACGTCCCATTGTGATGATCAATGTGGTGATGATAGTTCCAAAGCAAGTACAACATTTCAACAAAACTATGGCTTTCTGAGGTCTAAAACAGTCAACAGGTCTTCCCATGACTCTAAAGGCATATATATGCACTGATGTCAAACCCAAATTCATTAAGAAAGTAATATATATTATAACAGTTGACATGGCTAACCCTTCTGCAAATCCTTGCTCATCCAGTATCAGTAGAAACTCCTGCAACAAAAGATAAAACGCCCGAGAAATCGTTGAATGGAAAGCAAATGGCATTAGAACAGAATGTTGAAGCTGGTTGAGTTCATTTTCTAAAATTTCAACTGTGGAAATGAAGTGTACGATCAAGGGCGTTGAATTATATAGACTTGGAAGATCTTAGAAGTAATGAATTGGGAAGATCAAATTCAATAGCAAGAAGCTAAATAAGTGATCATATATTAGATATATACTTGCCAACAATGATAAAGTTCAAACAGAGAATTAACACTGGTTGAAGGAATGTACAGCCAACTATAACAAAATCCTCTCATATAATCAAATGACTCAGTTTGCTCAAGAAGGTGGAAAAAGGAAGAGAAGACAATGGACGATCTCATATCGGATCGAATGTAATCGAAGCGGAAAGGGACGATAAAAATCTCTCACACGCTAAGAGTTGTTTTTTCTGTTAAAATTAGAAAAGAATCTGCAAACCACGTCTCTCTATTCATTCTTCCAGGCATATAACATCAGTGAGAAACCAAGACCATGTGATTTGCTGTCTGAAAATCTCTGAGAGAAAGACCAGGACAAGACATTAGGATCACAAATTGGTTGATTTCCCCACAACTTTTCAGCAGACAGACATGTTTTGAACATGAAAACAGCATTTCCTGGTGATGTACTAAACAGCCAACTATGAACATCCCAAAACACTTCCACAGCAAGCCCTTCAACCAAGATGGTGTGGTTCCCGCGGAATTTCCATTGCAGCCGCTTCACCTGTAACACCGTCTTCGAGTCAACTCGGAGAATCAGGCACGGCTCGGCGACACCGTTTGTATCACACTCGATAGCAATGTCATGAATCTGACCATTGTCACAAAACTGAGCTTTGGAACAGAACACCTTCTTCCCAAAGACATGCTCCTTCTTGGAAACGAAGACAGCAGAAGAAGGCAGAGGGGAGGAATTGGATTTTTTGAAAGCTTCTTTTCTCAAATCTCCAAGAAGAAGAACCATTTGCTTATCCACTACAATCCCCACATAGAAACCCTCCAAAGGCTCAGGCCCAGATCCAAATTTTGCAGAAGAAAGGTCCCAATAAATGTCAATTTTACAAGAATAAGCTTCTAAACTTTTTGACCCTCTTCTTTTAGAGAAGAGCCATGGCTTAATCTCAACTTTACAGAGGCATTGATTTGAGGAATCGTCAATGCCAATACTCAGGCCTTGACCCATCAGATTTTTACTCCAAGTAACACTAATCAGGCAAGAACGCCCCCTCAATCGACATTGATAAACGCAAGTGACAAGGTTTTGAGCAGTCTTACCATTGTTAGAGGAAGAGAAATCTGCAACTTGGACGCCATTTTCGCCAAAACAAGATGGAAAATCCCTCATTTTCCGCCTTGGGAGCTTCAGATTAAAATCACTAGAAGATAAAAAGAAGGAAAAAGAAAATGGGGTTTGAAATTTGAATCAGCAATGATTATCAGAGACGACGAACAACAAATCCCATCTCAGAAACGCTTCAAAATCAGAGAGAAAGCTGAAGAAATAGAAACCCCATCTGAGAGAAGGCTTAGGAAATCTGTTCTTCGGCCTGCATCCGCCATGTAAATGGTAGATTTAGATGCGTCTACGCAAACCAAAAAAAAAAACCCACAGAGGATTAGAGGTTTGAGAAACAAGTGATAACGAATGGGAAATGGGGGGTTACGTTGGAAATTAAAGACAAATTTGTGGAATGTAGAATGTAAAATAATGAAGAAAAGCGACAGAGAGGAGAAGCAGACAAAGAAAAAAGTAGACTCGCTTCACTGTCAATCTCTCACACCCTCTTCCAAACAAATTAACAAAAGAAAAAAGAAGAAAAAAAATGAAAGAAAAGAGAGAAAAAAAAGCGCCAAAAAGAGAGAGTGAATGAAGGAACTGAGTACAAATCAGAGGGGGTTAAATTTAACGGTAAATAGTACCTTGGGCGCACTTTAGCACAAAACAATATTCAATATTTAATTTATCAAATAAGATTTATTTTTCAGTTACATTACTATTTTAGCCCCTCGAGTTGTAATCTTAGCTTATTCTTTTACTTATTATTATTACTATCATTTAATCAAATCTCCTAAAATACTTTTTTCTAATTCCCACCCATACCTATGACTTATGACTTTTCCATCCACTGTCTTAACCAATTGAATTATGTTTAAATTGACAACCTCGCAAAATATCTAGAGTTACTAAATATTGATAGTTCTTTATACGTGACATGTTTTTTTATATTAATTATGAAAAATGGGTGGAATTTGCAGTATAATTTCAAAAATCCTAATCCTCCAAAAACCCGTCTCTTTTTTGCACTGTTCATTTCCTTTCTACCCACAACTTACTCGATTTCTTCAATTTTTTACCCAATTCATGTCCTAATGCAGAACTAGTCAATTTTCGACACATGTATAGAAAAGTACATGAATGAACTGATATCACATCGTCCGAATAGGAGAGATATTGAAGTTGTGCAAGTATGGTTTAGAAAGACGTGAAGTGATAATTACTAACATATTCGGATAAGATATACATCCCTTTACAACTGCGTAATCACAAGAACTTCAAAATTAAGCGTATTTGTTAAGCGGGTGACGCAACCAACTCTCACGCGTCAAAAAGGTACTGTTGAAGTATAATTATGACGTATTAGTAAATCCAACCAAAGTGCAAGGACTATAACTACTCCAAATTGAAACAAGTCTCGACCCGATCCGCGTAGACCTAAATTTGGAACTTAACCTTATCTTTATCGCATCGAGAAAACAAAAAATACCTTCGGAACAACGACAGCAAAAGAATGAATCAGCGGTAGCAAAAGCAAAGCGACGGGAGAGAAGAGGAGAGGAAGAAGAAAAAAG